TCGGCCTCGCCCGGGCGCCCGCCCATGGGCGTCGCTGGCCGACCGACCGCCGGCCCTGGCGGCAGTCCCGCGCCCGGCCCTGGCGGTCCTGGCGGCGGTGGTCCCGGTCGACCGTTCAGGCCCGGCGCGCCTTCGTTTGCCGGACCCGGTCGCAGCTTCGCCGGTCCGCCCTCGCCCTCGGGTGGTGCGCCGCCGCCCCAGCAGCCGCGGCCCGGGGTCGTGCCGGGCCGCTTTGCCGGCGTGCCTGTGGCCTCGACCGCCACCAACGCACCCGCCGGAGGAGCTGCACGCTCCGGCCCGCCGAGTCGCCCCTCCCGCCCACCGCCCACCGCCACCGCCAAGTTCGAGGGCGGTACGCACTGCAGTGGCCGCCCCATCGCCGATCGAGTGTGGGCTGACGCGGTGTGTGGTGTTGTGTGTGTGTGTCGTGTGTGTTTTGAACTCAGGCGCGGCTCCGGTGTCAGCGCCCGCAAGCAGCGCTCCGGCCTCCGCCGCCGGAGATGTACGCCTCCGCACGCCTCTCTTGTGTGTCGTATCGTGTTGCGTGTCGTTGTGTCGTGTGCTCATTTTTCTTGCATTTCCATCGACGCAGCAACAACGCATTCTGCGCGTGTTCTTCAAGGACGGCACCTACCGTAGCTACGTCCTCACCGCGTACGAGCCGTCTTCCCACCACCACCACACCCACCACCCACTTACCCACCCACCCGATCGTCCGCTCGGCTTCAACGACGACGACGACTACTAACCCGCGTTCGTGGGTGTGCGTCGTGTGTGTACGCGGGCCTTCAGTTCGTCGACGGCGCAGGACGTGTGCGATCTCATCCAGCAGAAGTTCGCGGCCGAGCGGCTTGACGACCACTGCCTCTTCTACGTCAAGGTACTCACCCCCGCCGCCCGCCGCCCCCCTCAGCGCTGTAGCCGAAGGTCTCGTCGGGTCTTCACACCGCGCGCGCGTGATCGTCGCCCCCCAAATCAATAGGGCCAAACCCAGCGCCTGCTCGAGATGAATGAGCTCCCAGTGCCGCTCACCGAGAAGTTCAGCAGCGGCAACGAGAAGATCATGTTCAAGCACCGCGACGACGTCGTCGTGCCCAAAAGGGTCCGTGTGTCGTGTCGTGTCGTGTCGTGTCGTGTCGTGCCGTGCCGTGTGCGGTAGTGTGTCGTGCTGACCTGCGTGTGTGTGTGTGCGTGTGCAGGAGGTGGTGCGTGTGTACTTTACGGACCACACGTACAAGAGCTTCATGGTGGGCCGGAGGACACGGTGCGCAGTCTCATCATGCAGGTCGCCAAGAAGGTCCAAGTCGCGCCCCACGGCCACTACCTCCTCGAGATGACCGGCGACGGTACGCTCTCTTCTCGCCTCCTGTGTCGTGTCGTGTCGTGTCGTGTCGTGCGCACACGCGTGTTGTGTGTCGTCCGCTAACACATTCATATTGTGCGGTGCAGAAACGAAGCCGTTGACGGACACGGATCTGGTGCAGGACATCAAGTCGGAGTGGGAGCAGGGCGCCAACACCGCCTTTGTCTTCTCCAAGGAGATCAAGGTCTGCGCTTCTCTCATTTTGCATATGTGTCGTGCGTGTCGTGTCGTGTGTTGTCGTGTGTGTCGTGTGTGTCGTGTGTGTGTGTGTTGTGCTGAATTCGAATGTGTGTGCGCGTGCAGCCCAACATGCGCAAGGGTTGGGTGGAGGAGACGGAGGAGCAGGAGCAGGAGAAGCAGCGCGCGGCCACGCCCGCCTCCGCGCTCCCCTCCTTCAAGCCTTCCTTCGTCCTCGGCGGCGAGGCCGGCCTCAACATGGTACCAATCTCCGCACGTCCAGCCCGTCTCCAGCCAAAGCTTACGACACGACCGCACACACACGCACACACGCGACCACACACACACACACACACCACACACACACACACACACACGACCGCGCAGGCGCGTTTGGCCAAGTCGTCGGTGATGCAATCGGCGATGCAGGCGTCGAAGGTGAGGCGCGAGGTGTCAGTTGCCGAACGCAACCACATGCGCGCGATGCAGCAGCACGCCTACACCCACTGGGTCGACTACCACCTCGCCAAGATCCAGTATTTCATCGAGGTGCGCCTGCCGACACACACGCGCGCGCACACACACACACACACACACACACACAGCCCACATGTCTCCACGACACGACACATGCCACGCTCACGGAACGTGTGTGTGTCGGCGCAGGACATGAGCAAGGACATGTGCGACGGCGTGCTGCTGATCAATCTGCTCCAAGTGCTCACGGGCGAGTCGATCGGCATCTGCTGCGACAAGCCCGAGGTACGCGCGCGCACCTTATCACCGAACTCGAGGCCCGTCTTGTCACACCACTTTGCTCCCCGTTGCATGCGTGCCGTGTCATGTCGTGTGTGCGTGTCGTGTCGTGTCGTGTGTGCGTGTCGTGTGTGCGTGTGCGGTTACAGATGACGATTTTCGAGAAGATGGAAAACGTGAACAAGGCCATGAACTGGTTGCGCAGCAAGGGCATGAACATGCGCGGCTACGGACCCGAAGACATCCTCGACGGAAACGTCAACGTCATCTCTGCCATCATCTGGTATAATGTTGCTTTCTGTGTGTGTGTGTTGTGTGTGTGTGTGTGTGTTGTATGTTGTGTTGTGTGTTGTGTGTGGTCTCGTGTCTCGTGTCTCGTTCTCATTTTTCATCACCGTCGTCATCATCATCTTCGTAGGTCGATCATTTCGGTGTCGTCGGTGCATCCGTTCGACGCGCAGAACACGACTGAGACGAAGGCCAAGCAGCTGCTCCTTCAATGGTGCCAGCAGCAGGTCCAGGGCTACCCGTCCGTCCGCATCGACAACCTCGACCTCAGGTCCGTCACCATCGCCCGCCAAACCGCACACACAGCGCACCACGCGGCACACAACGCAGAACGCACGCACACACACCACGCGGCACATACGACACACGACACACCCTGCGGACCAACGCTGACGCTACGTGTGCGCAGTTGGCAGGACGGTTTGGGCTTCTGCGCGCTTCTCCACAAATACCGGCCTGACATGATCGACTACAACGCTGCCTTGGTACGTGTCTCTGCGCGCGTTGTGTGTTATGGCGTGTGCTGTGTCGCACTCACACGTGTGTGTGTGCTCTCTTGGCACTCTTTTGGTGGATTGTGCAGAACCAGGGAGACGACCGCATTGACTACGTGATGGCGCTGCTAGCGGAGAACTTTGGGATGACGCCCATCCTGCTGCCAGCAGACCTCAAGAAGAAGGACTTCAAGCCTGACGAGCGCAGTGTCTTCGCCTTCCTCACTGTCCTCAGGGAAGTCCTCACCTGTGCCCTCATTGATTAGCCCAGCTCCAACCCAAGGAGGTCCAAACCCACTGAAGTGTGCACAATAAAGCCTGTTTTGGCTTGGGAGGTGTTAAAGTGAGAATAGTGTTGCAAGGTGTGGTGTATTATGGTTTAGACCAAGAACATTATGGTTCACTCCATAGCCACCTTAACATGAGACAGGTCATTCCCTGCAGGTGCTGATCTTGCAATGATCACACAGAATCCCTTCACAGTGGAGAGGTCAAGACAGAGGCCAGAACACCTTTATCCCTGAATGAGAGCCACCAACCCAACACCAGTATTCCATCAGTCCCTGGTGTGGGTGGCAGAGATTGAGACATAGCTGGTGGGGAAGTGGCCCTCGTGGTCGCCAACATAGCCGTAGCGCCACTCGCCATTGCCATCGGGCTGCTGGCCGTGTTGCTGGGGGTCCGCCAGCGGCAAAACGAGGACGTGGTCGCCCTTCTTGAAGCTCAACTCGCCCTCGTTCTGAGCCTCGAAGTAGAACAGTGCCACGCCGCTCTGCAGCTCCTCCGCTTTCTCCTCCTTCCCCTCCGTGTTCCCTGTATAGGCTTCGGCGGTCATCACCTCAACTGGTGCATCTGCCTCTTCATGATCGTTGGCGGTCGCCGCATCGGCTTCAGGCCCGGTGTGCGCGCGCTGGTGATGATCATCGACTGCCTTCTCCATCTCCTGTGCGTTTGCGTGAGACCATGAGCCGAGCATGCGCTTGCGACACGCGAATGCACACGACATGCGGACGTACGGCGGGGGTGGGGCCGAGCAGCGACTTGGAGAGCTCCTTGTACTTCTCTTCGATCTTCTTCTTCGCGTAGGCCGCCTTCTCGAGCGTCGACATCTTCGGGTGGGCCGGCGCCACATCCTCCTCGCTATCGTCTTCATCATCATCTTCATCTTCACCCTCCTCAAGATGGTGGTGATGATGATGTTGGCCATGACGGTGATGGTGGTCGTCGAGGGCCTCGCTGTGCTCGACGCGGCTGGCAGCGGCGGCAGCGCTGGTGGAGGACTGCGATGAGAAGATGACCAGCGGCTGGACGTAGTTGAAGGGGAAGATCCCGAGGTCGCCGTTGGTGAGCCGGCCCTCCCACCAGCCCTCGTTGACCCGCGCCCGCACCTCGATCACGTCGCCCTCCACGAACGACAGCTCGCCGTCGGCCTCGTTGCCCTTGAAATTGTACAGCGCGATCACCTTCTTGCCCACCATCTCCTCCCTGACTGCCCCGCACCACACCTCGCCCAACTTAGCGCGTGTGCGTGTGGCGTGTGCGGCGTGCGTGCGTGCGTGCGTGCGTGCGTGCGTGTGCGATGCGCGAGTGTCGTGTCGTGCGCGGACCTGTGCGTGTCGTCATCGGTGGTGTTGGTGTGATGGTGCTTGTTGATGTGTTTGCGTGGCGCCTTGTTGTGGTGCTTCTTGTCCTTCTTGAGGGACCGGACGAGGAGCTCGAGCTGGTGAACCTGCTCACGCAGCCGCTTGGCCTCGGCCTCCTGGGCCTTGGCCCGGCTCTCGGCCTCGTTGAGCTTGTGCGCCAGCGCCTCGGCCTCGTTCTGCGCCGCCCACCGCTGCTTGAACTCCTCCTCCTTCTCCCGCATCCGCTCCTTGTAGGCCTCCTTGAGCATCCGCACCTCTTCGTCCCGCTTGGCCAGCTGCGCCCTCAACGCCTCGATCGTTTCCACCTCATTTGCCTCCACTACGAGCTGCTGTTGATGTTGATGGTGTCCTCTCTCCTGAGGTACGGTCAATATTTATGAAAAAAATAAAAAATCAATAACGATTTTTTAATTAAAAATTTTTTTTTTCTATTTTAGGTAACAATAATAGAATTAATGATAAAGAGCGAAAGAGCGAAAGAGCGAAAGCGAAAGAGAGCGAAAGCGACAAGAGGGGAGGACCTGGCCAAGGAAGGAGGGCTTGGCGCGGTGGGTGTCTGGGCCGGATGACTGGGCGGCCACGGGCTTGGTCCACCCGCCGCTGCCCACCTCCGCCGCAGCCACCGCCAAAACGTTGGGTTCGTCCGCGTCATTCTTCACCGGTGGGTGATGGGCTGCCGCGTTTTCGGGTTCAGCGCTCTGGGGCAGTGGCTGGGCAGTGGCAGGGGACGAGGAAGAAGAAGAAAGGTGAGGGGAGGAGGTTTTGCCGGAGGGGGTGGGGGCGTGAAGAAGCAGCTGCTTTATCTTTTGCTCCTTCTTGCGACGCTCCTCTTCTTCACGCTCCCTGGCCAACCGCTCCCGCTCCTCCTTCTGCTGCCGCCAATTCGCTGCCATCGTACTGCCAATTTTTTGTCGTTTTTTTGTTTATTTATTGTTGTCGATGTGGACAGCGACCTTAAGAGAGTCCCTTTGTCCAATCACAATTGAGATTGGGTTGTTGTGTCCAGCAGCAACAGGCCTTAATTCATATAGTGTCATATACATTAATGCTAAGCCGGACCACAACCACAACCACAACTCTTCCTTCACGATGGTGCCCACAAGGGTCATGGTGGTCCTCTTCTTGGTTGGAATTGTCGGTTGCGCCGCGTAGGCCAGAGGCGGCAGCGTGCGGTGTACGACGTCGCTCCTCTCCCCGGCCGCTTCGCCGCACCCGACCAGCTCGTCCTGTCCTTCTTCGTCCGACCCAAAAACGTAACCGGCAGCCCCGCCGTGGCTGGGTCAGCGGTACATAAAATACTGATTCTAATTAATATTAATATTAAAATAGAAATTTATATTTATCAACCATTTGTATTTGTTCTTTACTTTTTCTTCCAGTCGGGGCGCAAGGGGACTTCCTACAGTTCGTTGGCGGCATCGTTCCCCTGCGACATCACGGCCGCCGACAAGTGGTGCGCCTACTCATGTCATGTGTGGTCATCATCATGCTCACTCCGTGTGCGCGGCAACCACAGACAAGGTGAAGGAACTGTTCAATGTAGCGGTGCTGGAGAATGATCTGAAGTGGGCGGGCTGGATGGCAAACCCCGACCGGGCGCTGACCGCGCTAGAGTGGCTGGCCAACGCGAGCATACCGACGAGAGGCCACAGCCTGCTGTGGCCAAGCTATCGCTTCACGCCGCCGGCTGCCCAGGGGCTCGACGCAGCCCAGCTGGACGCCTTCATCCGCGACCACTTCGCCGATGAACTCAATCACACCAGGGGCCAGTGCTACCAATGGGACGTCATCAATGAACCCTATTCCAACTACGACGTCCAAGGTGAGCCCTCACCTAACAACGCCAGATTGAATTTTGCACCTTCTTGATTGGTCATGGCTCACTCACACCCAAACACAACACACGACACGACACGCACACAAAACGCAAACACCAGGTCTGATCACAGCTCCGGGGTTCAGTGAGTGGATGGACTCCTCGGCAACCAGAGCATTGTCGAGTACTACAAGCTGGCCCAGCAGCTGGCGCCAGGCGTGCCGCTCTTCCTCAACGACTTCGGCATCCTGGCTGGCTACGACACCATCCACTGCAACTACACCACGACCTACATCCAGTGGCTCGTCGACCAAGGCGCGCCCGTGCACGGGCTTGGCCTGCAGTCGCACTTCAGCCAGGGACCTGTCGACATGGAGGAGATGTGGAACCGCATTCAACTCTTTGCTTCAATTCCTATCCAGGTACGCAATGCGACATATGACACACACGACACACAACACACGACACACACGACACACACGACACACGACACACAACACACGACACACACGACACGCGGTGAGGTTCTCACGGTGTGGCGTGGGGCTCTCAGAAATTGGCGGTGACAGAGTTCGATCTGGCAGTGCTTGACCAAGAGCTGCTGGCCGACTTCACGCGCGACTTCATGACCCTCGTATTCAGCTGCGACAAGTTCGACGAGTTCCTCGTGTGGGGCTTCTGGGCGGGCGCCCACTGGCTGCCCGACGCGGCCATGTTCGCCGCCAACTGGACGGCCAAGCCCAACGCGCTCGCCTACGCTGACCTGGTCTTCAACCAGTGGTGGACGTGCCACACGCACCTGGAGACTGACACCAGGGGCTGTGTGGAGGTGTTGGCCTTCAAGGGCTGGCTGGTGGTTGAGCTGACCAACGGCACCCTGGTGCAGTCGCGCGAGATCGACAAGGGCGCGGCGCAGAGCTTGAGCGTCGAGGCCTTGCGGCTGCCGTGGGCTGTCGCTTCGCCAGACGACAATGTGTCATCGGCTTCAGGGCTCGTCAGCAGCGTGATGGTCGTGGCGGGCGCGGTCCGCTCTGCCTTGGTCATGCTGCTGTAGACCATCAGATCATCAGAGTATACATAGACGTGTAGCAAGGGCTGTGTCAAAAGCAGTCCACACAAATTTGTTCTCTTTCCAACATCTGATGATCAAGAGCAGACAACCAGAACGAGGGAAGCGAAAAAAACGGAGAAATTCAGGTTTCGTTGTCTTTTCACAAAGCACAGTGAATTGTGATTGGGCTGTGAAAACTAGTCGTTGGCCTAACGGTCGGGAGACGGAGAAACGCAAACAACAAAACCCAACGCTCGCCGTCCATTTTCTCCAAGCCTCTCTGAGACTGTGATATACCCATACCCCACAACTCGCTTTCGCAAAGCACCACAATCCCCACAACAAGATGAACACCGCCAAGATGATGACCGGAGACCGTTTCATCCCCGACCGCAACGGTATCAACTTTGACATCTCCCATTTCAACCTCACCTCTTCTTCTTCCTCCAAGGAGAACGTGCAGCAGGTCCAGATTGCGAGCCCGGCCAAGGAGCGCTTCCAGTCGTCGCTCTCCGACGCCATGTTCGGCGGCGACGCGAGCGCGGTCAAGTCGACCAAGGTGCTGGCCTTCAAGCACAAGGCGCCCGCCGCGAGCGCTTCCTTCCAGAACCAGATGCGCACCCTCTACTCCGCCAACAAGGCCGCCGCTGCCAAGGGTACCGCCTCCACCTCCTCCACTCGCAGGCTGCCGTCGGTGGCGGACAAGGTGCTGGACGCGCCGGGCATCAGGGACGACTACTACCTCAACCTGCTCGACTGGTCGGCGCAGAACACGCTCGCCGTGGCGCTCGACCGCAGCCTCTACCTGTGGAACGCCACCACGTCGGACATCGACATGCTCTTCGAGATGCCCGACACCGACGCCGACGATTACATCACCTCGGTGTCGTGGATGGCCGACGGCAACATCCTCGCTGTTGGTACTTTCGCCCACCACGCACCACCACTCCCTTCATCGCATATTTCTGTATTTCTTACCATTGCCTTCATATTCCATATATTATTAATGCAGGCACCAACAGCAACGAGGTGCAGCTGTGGGACGTGGCCAAGGGCCGGCAGGTGCGCACCATGAAGGGCCACCAGGACCGCGTGTCGTCGCTGTCGTGGAACCGGGCCATCGTGTCGAGCGGCTCGCGCGACACGACGATCATGCACCACGACGTGCGCCTCGCGCAGCACCAGATCGCCGTGCTCGAGGGCCACACGCAGGAGGTGTGCGGCCTCAAGTGGAGCGAGGACGGCACGCAGCTGGCCTCGGGCGGCAACGACAACATCCTCAACGTGTGGGACGAGGGCCGCACGGAGGCGCGCTTCAGGCTCGACCACCACACGTCGGCCGTCAAGGCCGTGGCCTGGTGCCCGTGGCAGGCGGGCCTGCTGGCCTCGGGCGGCGGCGCCGCCGACCGGTGCATCAAGATGTGGAACACGCGCAGCGGCGCGTGCGTCAACTCGGTGGACACCGGATC